GGCCAGTCGCAGTACGATAATGTCTGACATGTACATGTGTTTATGCTCTTGTGTCACAATCTACACGTGTTAACGCATACGGCCCTTGTGTCACTGTGAAGAAATCACACAACTTGTGATAGTGGTAAAATTTATGAATACAAGTCTTGTCATACACAGCGTGCCTTTCACAATAAGCATAGTTATGGTGACATATTTCATTTAGCATTGTTAACATTGTGAGGGATGCCAACGAATTAATATTGAATTGGATCCCAATTGGGTTGTTATCAAATGTAATAAGTTTCTGATTCACGTGAACTGGAGCTAGTTACCCAACTTGCTTGAGGGGAATACAGTTAACAGCAACGGTTCAGTAAAACGAACGTGAATGTCAACATACAAAGAACTGGGACATTCACGAATCATGAATACTCTTTCTTTATGTGATCCCCTGATGTTTCAAGTCAGCATTAGCACTGAAGGTTTCAAGTCAGCTTTAACCCTGGATGTTTCAATTATGCATTAACCCTGGAGGTTTCAATTATGCATTAACCCTGGATGTTTCAATTCAGCATTAACCCTGGAGGTTTCAATTAAGCATTAACCCTGGATGTTTCAATTCAGCATTAACCTTGGATGTTTCAATTAAGCATTAACCCTGGATGTTTCAATTCAGCATTAACCCTGGAGGTTTCAATTCAGCATTAACCCTGGATGTTACAATTCAGCATTAATGCTGGAGGTTTCAATTCAGCATTAACACTGGAGGTTTCAATTCAGCTTAACTCCACGTGGGTAAATGTGACAACAAAGGCATGGTCAGTTGCTTTCATACAACTCGCTTTTCTTTTGATGCACCTCTTTATGAAAAGCTGTTCGGGTACCTGTATGACAAATTATTTATCCTCACTGCCAGGGCCATTTACGGTCTAGAGCCGATGTTTATAACATCACTGAGCTATACCATTATTCATAACGTTAAATGTTTGTCTGAAATATAGAGAATAATGTGATATGCAATACGAAATTCAATTATCTTTATTGTCATTGTATTGTACTTATAAACAACTGTATTTTAACATCTCTGTTACTGACGCAGATGCATAGTGTTAATAAAAGTGATGCTTCGTTAAATCGCAGTGGTTATAGGGGCTGTAGGCTCGAACCAGTTGCCATTTCTTGAAAGTTTTTATTCATTTCATTTTGATATACTTTAGTTTCTCTGTTAATATAATATTATACTTTTGTATATATCAATTTGTTCTCATACAATAAACAAGTTCATAATCTAAGAGCTTGATCTTAAGTACTTTGCCAAATATGGATAATAAACAGATTTAACGTCTTCGGCGCTTGAATGTTGTTTTACATCATCAATATTCAAGCATTTTCATGGTGTCTTTTAATAATCCAGTCTGGTTCAGGATATAATCAGTGGTTGTCACGCACACATACAAACAAACAAAACTCCCGATTGTCATTTGACAAAAATCACGTCAAACAAAGTGGGTTTCTAACAGCAGGTCGATGACAAATACACACGTTTGGCAACTGTTAAAATGAGATAACACCACCAGAACCTACTTTTGAATGCTGTCATAAATACACACAACAAACATACATTGTCTGTGCTTACTATTATGCATAAGTGAAATATTGGCAAGATGAAGGTATATATTGCAATCGCCGTTACATTGGTGGATCATGCAGACTGCGGCGTGATACACCAAACAAACAACTCATTGTGGAGACAACTTGAGGATGCCTTGCCTTCAGCCATACTACGTCACTCACCAACATGTATCATTTGTGTCAACAAGCTATTGTTTGTTTGACAATTACAATGCTTACACGTCACCCGTCAAACTGAATGACAAGTGTACCCCTGCCTTCGACCATTATACATGTATACGTATAAACTAAACACGAATTCGAACCTTTACATTGAAAACACAGTCTTGAACATTTACATTAACAACGCACATCACGGTGCATGAAGCTCATCAAATCAATCGAATAATGAAGCGTGTTGATACTTACCTTTGTAGGTATCAGTACTGGAAGCGGCAATAACAGAATTGGGGAAAGAAACAGTATCAGTAATGTCCTAATTCTCCACAGATCCTTAAGTGTTTTGCTCATTGCCATCCTTATGAACTAGTGGTTTGAATATGACAAACTGCTCAAGGGGATACCTCTTGATGGTGTCATGCACTGGGTGCACAACAAGGAAACTCTCTTTGTCCGTTCCTTTCAAGTTTCAGACTTCAAAACATATATCACTGTCAACAACGCTAGCTATGTGGGTCGTACGCACAAACTCTATGACGGCGGTGCACGTACAACTGTGTGTGTAACCCGAGAACGTGGCCATAAGACCTGTACCCCGGGTATCCGGGAGGAGTGATTATCAGGTCATTGAACCTGATGACTATCTTGCAAAATCCAATGTGTATAAATTGTAAATACAGTGAACTCTACTTTTCGCGGTGATTTCTTATGATTATGCAAAGAGTTCTGTTACTTTCACTGTTACAGACGGGTTTAAAATCAATGCGCTTGCAATAAAGGATAGTCCTGCACCATGACTATGGAATATATTTATTTATTTTATGAAAATAACAATAATCTAGAAACGCATACAAAAGCAAGTCTAGCCAGCTCTAGCTAGCTCTGTTCCACATATGAAATCAGGATAGGGGGATTTTTGTTCAGAGTCAAGAAGGATATTGTGTAATATAAGATTTCATGGACTAAATGTTAGCCTAAATAAAGGGCTGTGGAGTAGCCTAATGGTGAACACGAAATCCGTCACGCCCCCTTTTTCGATGCTCTGCCGTGGATCGTCAAATAACACTCCCAACCTGGCTGTTCGTGGCGAGATGGGCTGGCTTTCGTCGATAACTCTTCAAAACTTAGAAACATTACGACGTGGAAGAAAATAATATCTCTTGAATCTGATCGAAAGATCAGTGTGATAGTGAACTGGTCTAAACGCTTCCGGAAATCATGGGTGAATTCTGCTGTGTCTTTGTTGAAAAGGTTTGATTTAAGTAATCTGGACATGTATAATATTGCTGAAAATGATTTCAAAGTTCTTAAGGACCGTATCATTGCCGCCGACGCTGACTCTTGGTGGATGGATCTATGGGATGACAGGGGATTAGCCAATGGGAACAAACTGCGGACCTACAGGCTATTCAAGGCATCCGCGCACGTCGAGTCTTATGTCCGGAATATTCTGAACAGACAACAGCGTAGTGTTCTTGCAAAATTGAGATGTGCGACTTTACCTTTAGAAATTGAGCTCGGCAGATACCGGCGACCGATTACCCCACTTAATGACCGTATATGTCAGTTCTGTGATGAACATCAAGTTGAAGATGAGACCCATTTCGTGATCAACTGTACCCTTTTCTCTGATATCCGCTACGACCTATGGAGGAAAGCCTGCATGGAGGTTTGGAGATGTTAATGTTAATGTATCTACCTATTATAATTATCTAGGTTTGTTATTTTCAAATCGGCTGTGTTGGACGACTGGTATCAACTCTCTTGTTCAGAAGGCAAATAAGGCTCTGTTCGTTGTTAAGAAATTACAGCATTGTTTGAAGAACATACCCGTACATATACTTTTTAAAATATTTGACATTCAAATTAAGCCTGTATTATTATACACTTCAGAAATATGGGGCTATTAAAAAATTGCAGCAATTGAAAAATTTCAGATTAAATTCTGTAAATTTACTATTGGAATTGGAAGTCATATTACAAATGTTGCTGCCCTTGGCCAATGTGGTAGATATGGATTATTTATTGATTATCACAAGAGATGTATTAAATATTGGTTGAAATTGTTATCTTTACCCAGTTATAGATACCCTTAGCAATGTTATTTAATGCTGAAATCTTTATATGAAGTTAATCGCACTACATGGGTAACTTGTGTCAAAAGATTATTATTCAGTTATGGATTTGGCCACGTGTGGATTTCGCAGGAGTTGGTAATGAGACCCTCTTTATTAATGCATTTATTCAAAGGTTAAAAGACTGTAACCAACAGGACTGGTATTGTAAAGTTTGTGAAATACGTAAATTATCAATGTATAAGGAATATAAGTCATTGCTAACAGTTGAAAAGTATCTCTGTGAAATCACAAGCCGTCTTTATAGACGTATGTTTTGTTTATTAAGAGTTGGCGAGTTGCCATTGATGGTAAATTTAGGCAGAAGATGCGGTATAGAGTACTGTAATAGGCAGTGCAGATTTTGTAATTTACAGGAAATTGAAGATGAGTTTCATTTTATGCTTGTCTGCCCATGTTACAGATATTTAAGAAATAAGTATTTACCTATTTATTACTCTTCCAATCCTACTTTATTTAAATATAATACACTATTATCTTGTAACCGCACTAGTATTGTAACTAATTGTGTTAAGTATATACTGGAAGCACTTGCAATCCGAAATACTGTCACTTAATACCCTCTGTCATCTGCCTCATACTGTATTTTTCAATGAGTATTTGTACGTGGGCCTATTGCCTTTATACTGAAATAAAGAATTATTAGTGTCAGCTTGTGTAAACCTCTGGCCGCAACAGTGACGTCAATGTTTCTCCGGCGACAACGTGGCAGGCAGTGATGTATATATTGTATATGTTTTTGTGATTGATGGATGAGTATGTGGGCAGTGTTTGTATGTGATGTATGTGCACGTGATATTGAGTGAATGTGGTGAACTTCCATGTGTGATTGAAAATGAAATGTGTGTAATATTTATGTGTGTGTGGGTGTGTGTACTTTCGATTATGTTCGTGTATTATTCTTGCCAATTTATATTATTGATAATTTAATGATTTTAAGTGCCTCATAGATCCTTCATGGGTCGGCTGATGTTTTTATATATCATATGTATGTGTACGTGTAATGTTTTTTATTGTCTTTAAACATCAGGTGGCACTGTAATAAAATATTTTTCTTCTTTTCTTCTTTTCTTCTTTTCTTCTTTTCATAAGAGAATCTTGATCCAGGTTAAAACCACACTCTCTGACTCCTCATGACACTACAGTGACTCGCTGCCTTCTCATCCTTTAAAGTGGACAATGCATGTGGGATTGAACTTTCTTTTAATATCCGATTAGAATGATCTACATATACATTTACAATCATACAAGTTCTTCTTTCCGGACAGATATAGACATAAGTCAACTGTGTATATACTGAACAGTCGTAGTTAGAACCATTGATGTCATACATGTGAAAAAGTCGTCGAGGTCTCGTTGGAATTCCGGGTTAGAAAAGGTCGTCAACAACATGTGTGTGTCACCCGAGGCGACATACGAGACTTGGTGACTTGGTTCATAGCGTGTTATCGCTCCACGACGGCGTGTGAACTTTGTCCATGATATCAATCACTGGTTTGTCAGGTCCACACTCGAATTAAAAGTCGTCGTCCTATTGCTGGAATCTTGTTGTGAATATGGCGGTAAACCACAAATAATTGGTGAGGACAAATTGCTCAAATGAGAATGTTACACAATCCAAAATACTTAAATGCACGGCCCAATGTTTTAGATATCTGAGGATGAACTTATGTGTATTGGTTAATATAAAAACCATATCGAGTGATTAAGTAGACTAACACTTTCGATCCGCACCACAATTTGTGAATAAAGAGTTGCTTCCCCTACCAAAGCGTTTTTTACCTTATTTTTTATCTGCTGTTTTGTTCACCTCCACATAAAGGAACTTTGCGAACACCTGGTATCGTCACTAGTTGTGAGCGATGCATAAACACATGATCAAGATATAGTCGGAACCGTACAATCGACTCTGCTCTGGAAGAGAGTTCTTATGAATATTGAAACTTAAGGGTTTTGTCGCTTTTATGTCCTGGGTGAATGAGTATAGTTTTACGCCGTTGATTTAGCAATATTCCAGCAATATCACGGCGGGGGACACCAGAAATGGGCTTCACACATTGTACCCATATCGGGAACCGAACCCGGGTCTTCGGCGTGACGAGCGAACGCTTTAACCACTAGGCTACCCGGCCGCCCCTTTTTGTCGTGATGGGCCCGATGACAGGATACACTGATAGTGACAAGGAAGACATCCATGGCGCTCCTGACATGTCACAGCCCGTTGCGTGACTGTCCCCAGAGATAAAGTGAAACTTGGCCCGCCCAAACGGAAATGTCACATTGTGGTTTGAAAAGACCCTTGATATTACTTAAAAACTCTTGCCTCTTTAAAGCTGGCTGTCTCATCTGTTATGTTATTGTTTCCCTCCTTCTACGATCTGTTGAATACTTTCTCTATTTATTACACTCGGCTGAAAATGACGCTGCCCTTGTTTCGAGAAAACATTCCTTCGCGCTACAACTGCCGTACATAATAATTTGCTATATTTCTGTGTACTATTAATGTTATTACAACAAATTCGAAATATGCTTGTCTTCATTATTGTTTTTAATTTATAATATGCATTTTGGTTTGTTTCAACGGTCTCAATATTTGTCATGGACATCGAGTCTTCAGTATGTTATGGTTCAAACACGGCTCTGGGTTTGTTTGAAAACGTAAAACCTCAAGCGAAGGAAATGCCCGAGGGCTGAAGAGTCGGCTGCTTATAAGAAAAGAAAAAGAAATATCTAAACCAGGAATTTGTGTATTCGTGTACGTTGCAGAGGGTACCTGTTTCGAAGGCAAAATAATCGGGTGTAGTTATCCTAGGCCGCTGTGGTGATACGACATCTCCCTGATCATTGATCATGAAGTGTGTGCCTAGTGTGGACATTTATGCCCTGGCCAACTTTGAAATGGCTTGATACTGAAGCTTTTGATTTAGGAATTTAAAAAAAGATCTACCGATTGCGTTTTGTCTCGGATTATAAATTCGTTATCGGATTTGTGAAAACTACATGTGTCATAAACTTTCTAAAAAAATCCGTGTCAAATTTCACGACTTTTACGAGAAACTTGTGTTTACCAATTATGTTTACTGAGTAAACAAACGGTACTATGGCACAGATATTTGTGTCCTTGACGTGACAATGCAGGTTTGATGTTAAGATCACCAGCCACGAATGGGTGTCAAAACGATCATTTCACAGCTATATGACCGATAAAACTACCCAACCAAAATCAGTCTTAATAATTGTTGCAAATGAACACAGTGGTTGCTTTATAGGATAATTACCTAGAATTTATTAATATCGTATCTATACGAACAAAGGACATCCCATTTCTTCTGTTGAATTTGAATTTAAGGCCCCAGTTTAATAGGAAGCTGTACTATGTTTTAAGAGGTAGGCAGTAATTACATTATTATGTTGGGTTCAACGCCGTTTGAACTGTATTCAAGTTATATCACGGCTCGTCAGTTCAATACGAGAGAACAGACCACGTTACATATGAAAGCCAATAGTACATGCATAAGAGTGAGTGAGTTGGGTTTAACGCCACTTTTAACAGTATTCCAGTTATATCGCGGCGTGTCAGCTTAATGTGGGAGGAAAGCCCGAAGTGATGCAGGTCTCAGACGTTTACCACTTCGATGAAACCCACGAGCACGGGTATGGTGCTGACAAACCTAGAAACATAATTGGGGCGAACAGGGATTCGAACCCACAATCATAGGTTTCTGGCGTGCCCAAGGGACGCAACTCTGCACAGCGAATTGCGGCGCCTCAGACGACTGGGCCACCCGTGACCCCTACATGCATATGAGGGCATACCTAACATCATAATGACACCCTTTTCTGTAACATGTAACATATATGTGCTGCCTCTACATGTGTTTCGTTGTCATTTTGGTTACCTTTGAGATATCTGAGACCACATTGTGATGCTGCATATTTAATACAAGGCCACGTCATAATGTGACGTATGTACTATAAAGTCACTCATTTGTCTCTAATAGAAGTTATGATTCTTATACCTCTACATTGCTACAGTCCCAATTGCGTGGATCGATGATCATGATATGAATCACTGGATTGTCTGGTCCAGATATTTTCAGACTGCCGTCGTGTAGCTGGAATGTTGCTAAGTGCGGCGTTAAAAAACAAACACACACACATTGCTACAGCATTATAACCTGTCTGAGTCAAACAGTTTGTGCACAAAGGCCTCTCGCCTTAACGTATTGGGAATAGACTGATTGTTGTACCAAATATTCCATACAAGGCCTTTATTTTGCAAACGTACGGCATACACAATGTATATGTAATGATATGTCACTGTGACATATATTCATGTAGCGTCACGTTGTTGAAATTCTATTTCTAGCTCAGATCCCTCCTTCCTACAGCTAAATCCAGCAGACAAGTTTAATTATATATCCCACACAAACGAAACGCAAGTCGAGTATGCAGTATACATGTTATTTATTTTCAACAGTAAAGACAAGAAATACTAATAGGGCAAGATTGACAAATCATTGACTGAAGACAGTTTAATGGATTAAAAGGCAGATGACATAATTGTTTTTTTCAAATGTTAAGGGCTTACACAGTTTCGGGTCAATACCCAAAATGTCAGTCAATACCTGGTGTGACCACCATTAGCATTGATCACTGCCACACATCTTCTGTACATTGAGTGGCTCAGACGATTTGTGAAGGCCCTAGGGATCCTCCTGCACACATCCAGAGCAGCTGTGCGTAGTTCATCGGCAGTTGTAGGGACTGGGCGCACATTGTGCAGACGCCTTTGAACCTCATCCCACAAGTGTTCGACGGGGTTCAGATCAGGGCTGAGGGCTGGCCACGGTAAAACACGGATGTTGTGTTGTTGCAGAAAGGCCATGGTAGCTCTCGCAACATGGGGACGAGCGTTGTCCTGCTGGAAAATGTGTTGTTGATGTTGTGCAAAAATTGGAACAACGTGGGGTTTGATCACTTGGTCGATATACCGCTGAGCAGTGACGCCGTGTCCCCGACCTTGACCAACATTCAGAAAGCACATGGGTCCAAGTCTAGCATTAAGTCCAATCCCTGCCCATATCATGACGCTAGGTCCACCCCATGGATCCCTTTCCACAACGTTTCTGTCAGCGAAACGATCACCTCGACGCCGTCACATTCTGACTCTTCCGTCTGCATGGGAGACAGAAAACGACTTCCATCAGAGAAGATGACACGCGTCCACTCACGATGACGCCAATTGCGATGACCCTGTGCCCACTGAAGTCGTGCTTGTCGATGCCGTGGTTGAAGAACAGAACGACGTGTTGGTCGGCGACATCTAAGGTTGTTGGAACGGAGACGTCGGATCACAGTGTCCCGGCCAATGTGTCGATTATGTGGTCTGTCGAGCACTTTCACTTGACAGTTAGGAACGGATGTCGCTGGTGTTGACGGGTAATCTGCCGATCTTGTCGAGGTGTGGTGACCCTAGGACGACCGCTCCGAGGAAGGTCATCTGTGGTCTGTGTAGCATTGTATCGATGCAGGAGACGGTAAATTGTGGTTATGTTAACGTTGAAATGACGGGCAACATCTTGGACAGACTCTCCAGCTTCCAAACGTCCGATAGCCTGGTTTCTCTGAATTTGAGTTAGGCGTGGCATTGTTGACCAAGGAGAGGTAGGTCCAAGAATCGGCCACAGTTTTATACCCACTACAGTTCGTGACAGTTCGTGCATTTTCGATTTCGCGAGAAATGGGTGCATGATACCCACATATACATTGAAATGGTGCGTTTTGGCGATTCGTTTTTTATGTTTCGTTATTAATCGGGGCTTCCAAAATGCAACCAAAAATATTGATAACACCATCAGGCTTCACTACATGCTAAAACTCGTATCAATTTATGGTTCGGTGTTTGTTACCTATTTGCTTAAAATCACTTGCGTTTCTTTTGCGTGTGAGTATATAATGAACAATGATTCACAATGTCATAAATTAGTCGTATTACTAACAAAAAAGTATAAGCGTCGTTTTCACACACGCTCTTAATATCATATCACTACCCAATTAATCCCGTTTTAATACATTGATGTATATGTTATATTTTATATTTTAACTTGTGATGTTACACGTATATTCGTGTCTCGTAGGTCAATGCTGACCGGTGGATGTTTTTTAATTCATGCCATATTTGCCATGTTACTGCTTTTATGCATCTAGTGACACGTTAATAAAATATTTTTTTCTTCTTCCTCTTATATATCCATCCGAATGTGGCCTGAAGGTAGCTTCACACGACACATTTAAATTTTCCGAATTATTTTCCAAAAGAAACCACATCTCATGTTGTAACTTCCGATCTCACTGATATCCAATAAAAACAAAGGACACACAGAGCTAAAATAGCAGTCTATAAAGGTTTCATGCACCATTTTTAGATTCGAACCCTCTATGTGTCATTCAAAGACCTGTCGGACAGTTATTGCTAAGTTACACATAAAAACCGTGCATGTTGCTCTTAGCACGTCCTCAGAAAGACACATTCTAGGTATACACAAAGAAAAAAAAAATAAGCACACCCCTATTTCTGAACAATGACAAATGGCAAAAATCATGGCATGGGTTGACTGACCCCAGGAGCTGGGCGATACCAATGTCATAGAACAAACATTTGACAACAAATAAAGAAGATATTGGTGAGTTGTGATTGAAATTTACCGACAAAAACATCATGGA